GGTTAGCTGGGCCAGCGTGTGCTGTGATCGGTTAGCTGGGCCAGTGTGTGTGCTGTGATCGGTTAGCTGGGCCGGTGTGTTCCCAAATTGTTCCCAAAACACGGTTACGATCCGGGGGGGGACAGGGCTTTTTCAACGTATGCTCCAAAACTGTGGAATTCTCTCCCAATTGACACTAGGGACGCTTTTTAAAACTTTTCTTAAAACATTCTTTTTCAGGAATGCTTTTATTTGATTAGTTTTTATTGTACTGTTTTGTGATTTATTTCTTGTTGAATTTATAGTATATTGTCTTCTATTGTTGTTTTCTTTTATGTAAGCTTTCTTGGAAAGCTCCTTGAGAAAGCAACTTTGAAAAGGCGCTATATAAAATAAATGTATTATTATTATTGTGTATTATTAAACAGAATATTACTCGAGTCATACATCAACAGGACGGGGAGGGGCACATTTTCAAGAAAGTACTTCATTTATCAAAACAATGCAATATAAACAGCTTGAATCGTGTTCCCTTATAGTACTCAAATTGACCCCTGTGCAGCGTTGACCTCTTACCCATCCTTAAACCAACCCAAACCTGAGCCTAACCTTTCCTAAATCACACCTCAACAGCAGCAAACGTGCTGTGCATTAACACAAGCTTTTAACCATTGTATAACATGTTAAAATCACTTGTAGATTTTCAAGATGTGCGTGATCTTATGATTTAGACGTTTAATGACATTTGTAAGCATTTTAAATTTACACGAAATGTGTAATACATTTATTAGTAAACATTAACGAGCACATTATTTCACGTTTCTCGATAAGTGAATATATGAACCAATCATCCGTTAAGCATTACGTAATGTTTGTTGATGATTTATTTATGAAAGTTATTATAGCGTGTTACCTATACGTCAACATGCAAGTCATTATAAAGAGAAAGAGACACTTTCTAATCTATATATAATAACAACAACATACTTTCTCAATAACGAGATACTTTCCAAGCAACCAACAAAATGTCCCGTCACTGATTGTGGCTGTTAGGAAACTAACTTACACTGAAGCGACTTTATTGCTCAGAGTCTCCACTGCATGGACCTTCATGTGTACCTTCAGGCGACTTTTAAAAGTGAAACTCTTCTCGCACTGATCACACGTGTGCGGCTTCACTCCGCTGTGGATCTTCTCATGTGTTTTCAGATTTGATAACTGAGTGAATCTCTTGTCGCAGTGTGAACACTTGTGAGGTTTCTCTCCGGTGTGAATCCGCAGGTGCAGTTTTAAATAGCTTTCTAAAGTAAAAGTCTTCCCGCACTCAAAGCACACATGTGCTCTCACACCAGTGTGTGTTTTCTGATGCGATCTTAAACTTTTCAGCAGTGAAAAACTCTTTGCACACACAGAACATGAATGCGGCTTCTCCCCCGTATGAACTGCCAGGTGTTTCTTCAGGGCTGATGACACGAGAAATGTTTTGCTGCATTGATCACATGCATACGGCTTTTCTCCAATGTGGATTCTCACGTGAACTTCAAGATAGCTTTTTAATGAGAAGCTCTTCCCGCACTGATCACACGTGTGCGGCTTCTCTCCGCTGTGGATCTTCTCATGTCTTTTCAGATTCGCTGACTGACTGAAACTCTTCCCGCACTGATCACAGATGTGCGGCTTCTCTCCGCTGTGGATCCTCTCGTGCATTTTCAGATTTGCTGACCGACTGAATCTCTGGTCGCAGTGTGAACACTTGTGAGGTTTCTCTCCGGTGTGGATCCTCTGGTGCAGTTTTAAATGGCTTACCAACGAAAAAGTCTTGGCACACCCAAAGCACACATGATCTTTCACGGTGCTGTGAAATTTCTGATGTACTTTTAAATTTTTCAGCAGTGAAAAACTCTTTCCACATTCAGAACACGAATGCGGCTTCTCCTTCGTATGAACTGGCAGGTGTTTCTTCAGAGCTGACGCCCTAAGAAATGTTTTGCCGCACTGATGACATGCGTGCGTCTTTTCTCCGTTGTGGATCCTCATGTGTTCTTTAAGGTGTGATGATTGAGTGAAACTCTTTCCACATTGATCACACGCATATGGCTTTTCTCCCATGTGGATCCTCATATGGACCCTTAAATATTTTTTGCATGCAAAGCTCTTCCCGCACAGATCACACACGTGTGTTTTCTCTCTGCTGTGGACCTGCTCATGTGTTTTTAGATGTGCTAACCAACTGAACGACTTGTCACAGTGTGAACACTTATACGGTTTCACTCCAGTGTGGATCCTCTGGTGCAGTTTTAAATGTTTTGCCCAAGTAAATGACTTCCCACACTCAAAGCACACATGATCTTTTACACCAGTATGTGTTTTCGGATGCGATTTTAAACTCCGCAGCAGTGAAAAACCCTTTCCACATAAAGCATATGAATGCGGCTTCTCCTTCGTATGAACTGCCAGGTGTTTCTTCAGGTCTGATGACACGAGAAATGTTTTGCCGCATTGATCACTTCTTTCCTTAAAAAAATTATTTGTAGTTTTCGAGCGACTCCCTTCAGGTCTGACATGATGTTTCTCCTCCACTTCTCTCTCCTCGCTCTCTTCTTTAGGGTCTGGAGTGAAAGAGAAAAGTTGTATTTTCAATAAACCAAAATAATTCAAAGACAGGAATATGAATTGAAAGGCCATAAAATTGAGCGCTGATGTAATAGCAGAAAACAGACAACTGTTAAAAAAATATTACAATTACTTTGATGCATTTTTATGATTTATTTGCCCCTTACACTCTGCATGAATGAGATACATTGATCTTCTAATTATTATTTTTAAAACATTACAGGCTAATGTAGTGTAGTGTTTCTGTAATGAGAACTAGAGCCCGACCGATATGGGTTCTTTGGGGCCGATATCGATATTAGGGAGTAAAAAAAGGCCAATACCGATATATCGGCCAATATTCTTTGTGTATAGTCCACTTCGTAGGGCACTTACGGTCGAATAAGACAACGCTTGAATGCTGCCTGAACAAGAGGCCTCCTTACTGAAGGGAAAGTGTTGGCTGGTGTCACTATCTCACGAATGCGCCGGCGGATCTCCACCAAATTCGGGGGATCCCTTCAGCTCGAGGAGCCCTCTCGAACGCCCGCCCCGGGATCGCTTGATCGTTCGGCGCCGGACCGTGAGTTTAACCACCCGTAACTCCTGAACCCCGGGGGCCATCCACGCGGCGGTGGTCTCACTCGAAAGAGGGCCTCGAGACGTACACTCAATTCACGTTCGAGAGGGTTCCTCGAGCTGAAGGGATCCCCCGAATTTGGTGCGGATTCACCACGCCATTACTGAGATATGGACGTTCAAAGTTTCAATGGTTTTCCATAGAAATAAGCTTTAAATCGTTTCATCCAGTAGCAAACAATAGAGCGCGTTCTGCTGGACAAACTAAGTAATTACACCATTTCAAGCATTTTATCTGCGTTATATGTTCTGTAAAAACTCGAAAGAGGGCCTCGAGACGTACACTCAATTCACGTTCGAGAGGGTTCCTCGAGCTGAAGGGATCCCCCTGAATTTGGTGCGGATGCAATGGAGCGCGCTCTGCTGGACAAACTAAGTAATTACACCATTTCAAGCATTTTATCTGCGTTATATGTTCTGTAAAAGTAAATGTTCATATCGACGGCATATTCGCCGATACCGATATATCGGCGACAGGCTCATATTGGCCGATAATATCTGCAAAACGATATATCGGTCGGGCTCTAATGAGAACTATTAAATATATTTGTTATCAATATAATTAACTAATGTAATATTAACAAAAATTTTACAATTTTGACACTGTAGGAATATAATTTTAAGTCATTGTTTTGTGTTTTTCATTGTTTGAAACTAAATAACGCAACAACGCTAGCTAAATAATGTAAATACGGAGTTGTTCATTGTTTATTCAAGTTCCTCTTTCACCCGAGACTAGGGCTGAACAATTAATCTAATTTCTAAGATGTGATGCCACGATCACATAATCATTCAAAGCCGTGATTACAAAAATAAATAAATAATTTACATTTTAAATTTTAGTTCATTCGTGGGCACTGTTTCACCTGAGGGCTGTTTCATAAAAGACGCTAAGAAAAGTCTTGAAATAACCTAACAAATCAATCGGGACTAAAACGATTTCATAAACGACAATTCAAGTTCACGCAATCTCACTAATTCGATCCAGGTTCAATGAGTCAAGATAATTTGATGTGAACGCGTAATCTTAAGCAGCCCTTAATGTCGAGCATCGGCTTGAGTTGGGATGCAGATGTACATTTATTTTCATTAACAAAAACAGTACCATTGTGAAAACCGTAACAGCCTCATCTTTCATACATTTGTAGATCATAACTAAAAGTACAGCACCTCATTACTATGGTAAAAAAGCAGCGTAACTATATGGTTTCTATGGTGTTTGCTATGAAAAACAGTAGCCTAAAGACATTTAATCAATTACTAAGCTCGCGCTGCACTGTTTTCTTTTGAGGCGAGCGGATGAAAGGTCCATGTGGCGCGCCGTTCAAATGAGTACCGCTATATTGTTCTGCTTTTGACACGTTTGGCGTTTAACAAATCTATCATGCGCAACAGTGACAACGACTCTCAGTTAAACTAAATGTCTTATCTGGTGTGTTTAGTTTTAACACAATTTAAGCAATTTTGGATGAAAACCGGGAGGCTTGTGACTGTCCCATTGACTGCCAAGTAACTTACACCGTCAAGGTCCAGAAAAGCATGAAAGACACCATCAGAATAGTCCATCTGCCATCAGTGGGTCAACCGTAACGTTATGAAGCGATGAGAATCGGCACCGTAGCGCCATTTTGGAGAGTATCGCTGCACGCAAAATGCGTACGCTCTTCTGTGTCAGCCGTGACATAGGGATGCGCTGTTTGCGTTCAAATCAAAGCGTAAATCCACGTAGAAAACGTATCCTTGTGTCGTGACTGACACAGAAAAGCGTACGCATTTTGCGTGCAGCGATACTCTCCAAAATGGCGCTACGGTAACGTTACGGTGCTGAATTGTTGAATAAAGTCGTTATTTTTGTTTTCTTCGTGTACAAAAAGTATTCTCGTCACTTCGTAGTGTTACGGCTGAACCACTGATGGCAGATGGACTATTCTGACGATGTCTTTCATACTTTTCTGGACCTTGACGGTGTAAGTTACTTGGCAGTCAATGGGACAGTCACCAGCCTCCCGGTTTTCATCCAAAATAGCTTAAATTGTGTCCCGAAGACGAAGCTTTTACAGGTTTGGAACGACATGGGGGTCAGTGATTAATGACAACGTTTTCATTTTGGGGTGGAGTATCCCTTTAAATACAGGTCGTAGCCTATAATTTTAATTTTTTTTTTTAGATTTGCTGAATTTATGAATTTTCTGTATACTTTTATTTTTTGGACTGATAATAAAGTCAACTAATTGTATGTGAGAGAGCCAGTGGTAATATCAAAGTGTTCCTATTGGTCAGTGTTAGAGGAACTAACGGCTAGACAATAAGTCAGACTAACTAAAAATAAGCCTGGCTAATTTGGTAAACTTGTTTCATGAAATAGCCCCCAGGTTGCCCGTTGACGGCAACATTGCTCAGAAAGTTGCCCAGTGTATCATCAGCTAAACACACCAGGTAAGACATTTAGTCTAACTGAGAGTCGTTGTCACTGTTGCGCATGATAGATATGTTAAACGCCAAACGTGTCAAAAGCAGAACAATATAGCGGTACTCATTTGAACGGCGCGCCACATGGACCTTTCATCCGCTCGCCTCAAAAGAAAACAGCGCAGCGCGAGCTTAGTAATTGATTAAATGTCTTTAGGCTACTGTTTTTCATAGCAAACACCATAGAAACCATATAGTTACGCTGCTTTTTTACCATAGTAATGAGGTGCTGTACTTTTAGTTATGATCTACAAATGTATGAAAGATGAGGCTGTTACGGTTTTCACAATGGTACTGTTTTTGTTAATGAAAATAAATGTACATCTGCATCCCAACTCAAGCTCCTGTCTAATGTGTATTTCTAAGAGACAAAACTTGTAATAGTATTATTATACCAAATCAGGTGCTGGTGCCACGGCTCTCGAATGTTAGTCTGGAGCCCTGATCATATAAATTATACTGTAAAATGTTACTGTAATTTGAAATTCTGTTTAATTATAAATGAAATATATAGCTTTAGTAAACCTTTTTTTATTCTTTTAGTTTTGGTATAACATTATTACACCATGCATGATTTTACCTTTTTTATTTAAAGAAGAAACCAGACCAATGTATAGTTGACATTTGAGTCTCAATGCTATAGAAAAGCTATAAACGTTCAGGAAGAGTGTTTTCATGCCCTTTTTTAATATTTTATATAAAAATATGGCATGCAGCTTCAAACAATGGCATAAATCTGTTCTAAATAATCATCAAATAAGAACGATTAGTCGAACACGATTAATTGCGATTGTCATGCACATCTTGTCAGTAAAGCCGGTTCTATGATTAGTAGTAAATCTCCATCACCTGCTTTCAGATGGAGCAGCATTTACTACACAGAGCCGTAGTTCACTGACAAGCTACGCAAAATCGTGTTCATAATCGCAGACGATATAATCGTACGATTATGAAATCGAAGAAATCATTCGCGATAATGACAGCTGTTTGCGTAGCTTCTCAGTGAACTACGGCTGTGTAGTAAATGCTGCTCCATCTGAAAGCACGTGGAAATACCACATTTAATAACATGTTTTCACTCCAAACTCACTTCATAACATCAGTCGAGTGTTTGAAATAAATCCTTCTGTGAGATGACGTGGCTTCTTCCACAGAATACGGCACGCAACATATTTCATAGCATTCTAAGCCGTGATAAAGGCTATGTTAATTAGCATTGCATTATAGATATACTTTATTATGATGAAACTCAGATAAACCGTATATTGCCGTAGTCGTGTGTTTATTAGTCACGTCGAATCAATGAAAGCAGTTGAATCTTCTGTTTATTCAGCAACCGCTACAGGGATTTCCTGGGCTTCTTCTGCCGGGCGTATTTGGGGTTTCCGCGCGAGAGCCAACAATAGCAAAGCTTAACCCTCCGCACATTTTTATATTTAGTTATACTGAAAAAGTTTCAATTCAGTTGATCTTTTTTGACCCCGTTTTAACATGGATTTCTATGGAGAGAATGGCGGTAGCAGCGGCAGCGCATAATATCTGTGTTCTGATTGGTCAGCTCGCCTGTCAATCAAGCTCTTTGCGAACTGTTGGCCGTGCCGCAGCAGAGTCGTCAGTAAACGAGTACAGAACAGCACCTGTTGCTTACTGAATGTTTGGACTTTTAAATAGGAGCATAGTTCGTCTGTCGCGATTATAAATCATGATTTAAGGAGTATAGTGAGCGTGACTACTAGTTAACGAGTAGTATTAATGGGTCGTGTTTAGTCACTATTTATGACAACAGAAAATATGTAAACAAGAACAGCTTTATTGGGCAACTCGTCTGAACGCAAACCCAATGCAAGACGTCATAAATATGCTAATTAGTATGTGACGTCACTTGCCCGCCACAAGTCTCACGAAATGCATAGCTTAAATATTCATCTAGATCTGATGAAGTGCTTGAAACTTTGTAACATGAATGTTCTTCAGCATCATGAACGAACGAAGAATCAAGAACAAACACCAACCTTTTAGTTCTTCAGTGTGTTTGATTCTGCAGGGCTCTGGATCTCTCATCTTGTCTCCGTCCTCTTTAATAAACCCAGATCTCAGCTCTTCCTGATGCTCTGATGCTCGTCTGCACTTCTGAACTGATGGAGATCTTCCAGCATTTATTGCTGAAATCACTGTCGGTGTGATCGATGTGGGACGAGCTTCACTGGACATGAATTTCTGTGTGGAAGCAGCAGATCTGCAAAAATCAACAATAAATCTGAGTCTGTGTGTTTTTAAATTAATTTACGTATTTAAGCATTTATGCAAGTGAAGCAGATGCCCTCCAACTTAAGTGCCTAAGTGTTGTCTCTCTGCAAATCATTATATTACTATAGTAAACTTTACAGCATTGACTCAAAGAGCACATCAGTTTAACATGTGCTCATTCAGTATCAATCCATATTTTTCCCTTCTGCCCCCGTGTTAGGGCTGCACAATTAAGTCGAATTTCTAATCGCGATTAGAAATTGGGCTGCACAATTAAGTCGAATTTCTAATCGCGATTAGAAATTGGGCTGCACAATTAAGTCGAATTTCTAATCGCGATTAGAAATTGGGCTGCACAATTAAGTCGAATTTCTAATCGCGATTAGAAATTGGGCTGCACAATTAAGTCGAATTTCTAATCGCGATTATGATGATGGAAGCCGCGATTACACAAATAAATGTCCGTTTCGTTATTCTGTGTGCTTAAGGAGTGTGTTTGCAGAGTGGGGTTTAACGAACTCAAAAACGCTGGATAAGAGACATCTTGTCTAACTGATAGTCGTAGTCGTTCTGTTGTGCATGACCGCTAGTAGTGCCGTGTTCGATACGACGATGTAGCGTCACAGAGATCTGACGATACGAGTATCGCTGCAGCTGGCCCTGTATCGCTATTGTGGCACGCGTGCTGCAGTGGACCGCGCTTAATTTTAATACATGAACAATGCTTAAAACGGAGTAGAAAAGTGCAAGGTTTCTAAAAAATAATGAATAGAGAATAATATATAGGCTACAGCAAACCACCGTTTTGCCGCGTTTCTCTATTAACAGTGAAGCTGTGGCTTTAATTGCTGTAGAAACAATGATGTTACCAGCTCCTTGTTGAGAAAGATATTGTACCTCTTCAGCGATTAAGCTATTTAGTTGATAAAATTGTGGGGCAGCGCTAAAAAGTTTGTTCCTGAATGTCTGTGCGCACGCGCAACGTGATATGTGTGTGCGTTAGATACAGAAGACAGCGTACTAGTTTAGAACTCCTCTCATTCTTAATTAAATTTTTTAGAAATGTAGAGAGAGTGTTAATTTGTGCAATAATAACCTACCAGCAATGTAAATTTAATTTTTCAATATATTAGATTGAGTACATTACAATATAAATTTATTAGAACGAGTACATTATTAGTTATGGGCTTAAAAACAAGATGCAAACAATCAGAATATTGTAC